TCTAGCCACAAACGTCCCGCCACAGGGACACTCCAAGCCAGCGCTTCGCATCGTGTCACCCTCCTGTCGCATTGACCTGTCGGATTCTTTCTAGTCCTCCTGGACGAAGAGCGACAGAGTTGCGTCTTTTTTTTTTTTTTTTTTTTTTTCATCCACGCAAGTCGTTAAACATTGCAATTCAAACGGTCATTTTTCTCACTCTTTTCTCTCTGCGTGGTGCGGCTGCGTGCTGTACGCTATGAACCGTAACGGCGACACGTGTGTTGTTGAATGCACAGTGGTGGGGGCGGACGAAAATGGGCGGCGATGGGGGTGGGTACACGGACTCTCGGAGAAAAAAAATGACACACTGGAGGAATGAGGAGAAACAGACTGGTAGCAGCGTCGTTTGGGAAACACCACATTGTTGGGATGAATATCCCCAGATCAAAGTGCCTCGAGTTGGCAGCACGAGGCGATGTCGGTTGCATTCGGACCTAGATGACATGTGCCTCCATATCCCATGCAACCCTTCTCCTCGGGGAGAGGAGCGGTCTGGTATTGGCGTGTTGGCGTCTGCTCTGGGCCAGGACGTCCGTTCTCCCAAATACGTAGAGAACGAATGTGACCCAAAGCAGCCCAGAAATGTCCCGAGATCCGAGCGCGCCGATAGTGCCGTTCAGCTACAAGGGGTTCAATTGGGCCCGAAAGCTAGTTCGCATAACTGTCGCACAGACGTGCCATAGTCCATGCTTTTTTGCTGCCGGCATTGCTCTTAGATCGTGGATGTGAATGCAACTAGAACCTCCCTGTCGTCTGTGATGCACAGCTAGGTTACGGTATCTGCGGAGGCTGCTGCGAGCCGATTTCCCCATTGACAAGACCCCCGGATCTCGCAGAGAAATTGAAGGGACTGCCCGCAGAGGACTCAATAGAGGACTCGACAGAGGAGTGAGAATACACACGGAGCAGCACATGGAGGTTGTGCAGACCCCAGGTGGCTTCTGTGGACCACTGCGGTATAGTGCATTTGCAGGTGCCGGGATCAAATGGGGTGCCCCGTCGTGCCCCATCCATTGACCCCTGGTGGAGCTTCGCTCAGGGAGGTGCAGCACAAAGGCTGAAGCGGTCGTCCCCGTGGGGCGCACTAAGAATGGAGCACAGCGTGTTGATTGAGCTGTCAGACATCACCTCAAGCCTGGGAACAAGCCTAAAGAGTGCCTGCACTGTTAACTCGGGTGCCTGGAATTCAGGGCCAAATGCGTGCTGTCCTTGGCACCCATTCCTTTGGTGCAGGCAATCGACAGCCCTGCAAGGAACGGCAAATTGCGCAGACGGCCATCACGGAACTTTTTGCTTGCTGAAGCAGAGAATTGATTTCCTGCGACGATCGCTTTCCAAACGAGCCTCAACAGCCAACGGGAACGCAAGTACGCCGCCCGCCCCCACTTTTAACGACCACCACCCGCCCACCCAACCCACACCACCGCCGCCGTCCACCTCCTAGGCCGTTTTTTTTTATTGCCGTGGCTGTCTCGCCAGCTCAGGGGTAGGATCGTGCTGGCTGGTATCAGATTCGCCTCTGGGATTTTCTTCCCCCTTCGATTCTTTCGCTCAACATTTTCTGTATGCCACTCCATCAAAGACACTCGTTACCACAATTATTGATCGCCTGTGGACCTACGGCACCGAAGGATCTCAAAATTAACACGGCTAATCCTGGCCATCCCCGACGCGCAGTCTGGATTAATCCCTGCCGCTCATTGAGCTGCCGACGCTCACCTTCCATTCACCCTTCCGCCAGACTTTGCTCGACCATGTTTGCGACCCTGACTCTGAATTGAGCCCACCGCGTCGCACGAACCTCGAACAATCCGACGGCTGAGCCGCGCAGTCAACGCCGAGACTCCTGTTCGCCTCACGCGCTCTCCTGCCCTACCCGCCCACCTCTCCCGCGTACACGCCCGGCCTCGGATACTCCCCCGTCGCCGCCTGCGAAGAACCGGGGCACGCCGGAGTACGTGCCCGGCGACCGGCGACCGGCCACGATGCCCTGGCACCCATTGCCCCGCATAGCCTTCGCGGTTGCCACGTATCCATTTACGCCCTCGAACCCGGCCGACCTCCCACTCGAAATTGGAGATGAGCTCTACATAATAGAGGAGACGCCAGACGGCAACTGGCTGCGTGGATACCTCGTCGCGCCACCCAGCCTCCTTGCTGGTCTGACCTCGGTCAAGGGCCAGACCCTAGAGGCTCGCGTCTTTAGCGGCATCTTTCCCCGGAGCTGTGTCGAGGTACGCGAGCTCCTGGGTGAGTCGGACGACACCGAGGACGGCGCCAGCGAAGAGGGCGTCGATGCCTCTGGAGAGCCAATCTCTCTCGGGAGTGACTCGGGAAAGGGTGGGCTTGATGCGTCTGAGACCAAGAAGAAGAGGGACAAGGTTAGGGCACCCGAGGTCCCCATAGGAATTCCCGACAAGGGAGACGGGGGAAGCAAAAAGACCGTCACCGATGGCCGTTTATCGATACCCGCGAAGCGGGAGCCTGGCGCGCCCAAGCCCCCGGCCCCGGTGCCGATGCTCAAGATCGGTGACGAAACCCCGACCTCGGAGTCCGAGCCTCTAATCGACGAGATTGCCTCGTGTTTGCGCGAGTGGCACTCCACGAACCTGCACGGCCTGCTTCTGTCCCGACAGTACCACAAGCTGGATCGGCTCTCCCAGCTCATCTCCACACTCAACTTCTCGCGTCAGCAGCTTCTACACAATGTTCTCACCACTTGGGAGTATGGTCGCCTTCGTGAGCAGACAGTATGGGATCTCGTCCGCGTGAACAAGCTGTGCGGCGGCGAAGTAATAGTCCGCGACCCGCGTGAGCGCGGCCGCGTCCTCACAGGCGACGACTCCGTCGTCGAGATTACAAGGCTGCAGTCGGTCATGAGCATGCTCGACGAAACCCCCCAGCCGCACACCGAGACGTCCGCATTGCATCACCTCTTGGTTGACATCAAGGGATTTGCCGGCTCGTCCACTGAAGCCCCGTGTCTTGTCTTCTATGTGGCGCAGAAGGACGCGGCCGGAGAGCTAACCAGGTTGTCGGAAAATTATACCGTCGAGGTCCCGCCCGGTGGTGACATCGGTGGCCTCACAAGAACGAGCCAGCTCCGCGCTTTGTTCTCAGATCTTTCCTCCGCAGACATTGGCGACATCCCCTCCGCCGCCGAGACCGAACTCCTCTTGATCGTCAAAGTTCGAGCCCCACACCAGATCGCCGCGGGCAAGCCCAGCTCCCGTTCGGGCCCAGGGAGTCACTCGCTTCCGTCATTCGGAAGAGACCACGCAAAACCCCCGCTCTCTAGCGGCAACAAGTCTATGCGGAGGAGTTTGATGTGGGCTGGGAAGAGCACTAGGTCTGCCTTTTCTAGGGGGGGTGGCAGGCTTGACCCCCTTACCGAACAGCAGGACCAAAGACCGCCGACCGGGGGGAGGGAGAGCTTGGACGGACCGCCCGGAACCGCAACCTCAAAGACAACGGTTGGATCGCAAGACGGCCCATCCTACCTGACAGCTGATCGGACAGTTGGAGTTGGTGTCATGAAGCTTAATGCCATCATGAAGCAGCAAGAGGAGGTCGAGCACGTGATAAGCGTTTTTTCAGCGTCGCAAACCAACCCTGTAGGGGGAGCTGGTGATCTCGAGTCGCTTATTCACGAGCTCGTCGAGAAGAAGAGCAACAACCTAGAGAAGTCGAGGGGCTCGGAACGACTGCAGGTCACTCTCAGGTCGTTCAACCACCCAGACGCGGACTCACTAATCAAGTCGACGCCGACGCTGCTCTCGGGAGTGTGCAAAACGAACAAGATGGGATTTTCGGGCGCACCCACGAAACCGCGGTCGGACATCTATGTCACGATCGACACAGTCGCGCTTTCAAAGCAAACGTTGCTCTCAAAGTATGGCGGCGGCGCCAGCTCTCTTCCCAGCTCCATGCACGCCACCAACCTGCAGCTTACCCTGGAGGTGCGGAAACCGAACGGCGTGCGGATCGACAACTGCATCTTCCCATCTTCCAACAGCGAGGGACTTAGTGCATTCAAGACTGTTGCCGTCGAGCGAGGCGGGGCTTGGAACCAGACCATCAGGTTGCTGCTGGACCCGCAGGACGTTTCCACAGCGCACATGGTCGTGTTCGCTGCCGACATGCCGCATCCCCCGTTTGCTGTGGCGCACATGCCTCTCTGGGACCAGCAGGCCTTTGTGCGAGACGGGGCGCACTCGCTGCTGCTGTACAAGTACGACGAGAACACGGCGACGGCGCAGCCCAGCCAGGTAATGGCGGGTGCCAAGGGCGGCTATCTCTCGCTGCAGTGGAGCGTCAAGCCCTCGCAGTCCGAGTTCGCGAGTCCCCTGGCGGTCTTGCGTCTGTCCACCTACTTGTGCAGCACCCAGTTCTCCCAGGATCGCATAATCCTCAGCTTGATCAGGTGGAAGGACTGTTCCAAGGAAGATATTCCCACCGTCCTGAAGCAGCTCATCTTCGTTCCCGAGATTGAGATTGTGAAGCTTTTGAACGACGTCCTCGACGCCCTCTTTGCCATCCTAGTTGAGTTATCCGGGAACGACGAACACGAGGACCTTGTATTCACGGCGCTTGTTAGGGTGCTTGACATTGTGCACGACCGGCGTTTCAACCTTGGGCCACTTGTCGATCAGTATGCGGAGAACAGGTTCAACTACCCCTTCGCAACCGCCTGCCTGGTGCGCTCCTTCACCAGGCTTCTGAGCAAGCCGGGCGACCCTGAGACAGCAAGGAAACTCCGGGCAACATTCAAAGTCGTCCGTCACATCCTCAAGTTCATCACGCATGCCCGAGGTCAACAAAAGGCTAAGGAGGCTGGAATTGGCCTCACGGGCTCGACCCCTGGCTTCACGAGGCATCTGCAAGCCATCTTCAAGGCCCTGGATTCCATGATGCGCAGCACGCTGCCTGCCTTTGTCGGCAACCAGACGTTGGCAGTGCAGCATTTTCACACCTGGCTCCCGGAGTTGACGGGTCTCCTGACCACAGAGGAGATAATGCACATCGCCATCGACTTTATGGACTCGTGCTCGCTGGTCAAGGGCAAGCTGGTTCTCTACAAGCTCGTCTTGATCATCCACTACTCCAAGCTTGAGGTCTTTTCACATCCCGAACAGCGGTCTGTCCTAAGCGCCAACACCGTCCGGTGGATTGCGCCGCACTGGGGTATCCCCGAGGAGGTCACGGACCAATGGAAGGACCAAGTTCGGCTCTGCTGCTCGGTGCTCGCCAGCCAGGTGGAACACCTTGGGCCCGAGATCCCGGACTACATCCCCAAGATCCTGCAGTCGTATGCTGCCCTCCAAGCCGCCCCACGAAAATCGAACCAACGCCTCTCTCTTCTCTTCCCCACCCAATATCCCTTCCTGAGCCGGCCCATCACCGAGACTGCCAGCTTCGACGAGTCTCTGATTGAGCTGTCAGCCATCCTGTCGGCTTTGTCCAACGCACCCAGTGGAATGCAGCTCGAGCTATGCGACGATGACTTGAGTCTTGTCGTAGAAAGCACTCTTGGTGTCCACATGAGCATTCTCCAAGGGGAGGCCTTCCCCCCTAACTGGCTCAGCGTTCACATCTTCCACCACAAGTCCACAATGAGGACTCTCGAATACCTGGCCGGCATTCTTCTCGAGTCGTTTCTTCCCGAGCCGGATGAGGCCGAGAACTTTGGCACGGAGCTGTGGAAAATCTTCTTCACGACCCTGTTGAAGTTGGTAGCCAGCCCCTCCCTCGCCCTCGAGACTTTCCCTGAGCAGAAGCGTCGCGCAGTGTGGAAAATTGCTGGTGACGTTAGGGAGCAGGGCGCTGAGCTTCTTCGCCGAACATGGGAGGCTATCGGATGGGAGACTGCCGCCGAAGAGCGCGCGCGGTACGGCCTGAGCAAGATGGGTGGCTACCAAGTGCAGTATGTGCCGACGCTCGTGGGGCCCATAGTTGAGCTCTGTCTGAGCGTACACGAAGGCCTTCGTCGCATGGCTGTGGAGGTCCTGCAGACCATGATTGTCAGCGAGTGGACCTTGAGCGAGGACCTGTCCGTGATCCAGGCCGAGATTATCGACTGCCTCGATCTTTACCTCAAGTCCAAGCCCCTCACCGAGAGCATTCTGCAGAAGCTGTTTATCGGCGAGCTGCTTGAGAGGTTCGAGCCGCTATCACAGGTTGAGGGTGACCCACTGTTCGCCGCCCTCGGCGAGCTCATGGGCACCGTCGAGGAGTTCTTGGATCTTCTTATTGCCGTTCACAGCGATGATGGATCCAGATCCGGTGAAGCCTCACATCTCATCCACCGCCTGCGCCTGATGGAGTTCCTCCGGGACATGCAAAAGGAGGAGATTTTCATCAACTACGTGCATCAGCTGGCCCAGCTGCAGGTGGATGCTAGGAACCACGCCGAGGCTGGGTTGGCGCTTCGCCTGCACGCAGATCTGTACGAATGGGACCCGACAAAGACGGCAGCGGCGCTTACGGACCCCGACTTCCCTGCCCAGTCTCACTTCGAGCGCAAGGAGAAGATATACTTTGAGATGATTAAGCACTTCGAGGACGGCTCCGCGTGGAGCAGCGCCATCGCCGCATACAAGGAGCTGCAGGCCCAGTACGAGACCAACGTCTTTGACTTCCCCAAGCTTGCACGGACGCAGCGGGCCACCGCCACCGTTTACGACACCATCGCCAAGAGCGACCGATTGGTGCCCAAGTACTACAGGGTCGTCTTCCGCGGACTGGGATTTCCCCTGAGTGTCCGTGACAAGCAGTTCATCTACGAAGGAGGCCCACACGAGCGACCCTCTGCTTTTACCGACCGAATCCAGGAGCAGTACCCCTCGGCGCAGATCATGACTACAGAAAGTGCCGTGGAAGACGTCGAGGGTCAGTTCCTCATCGTGTCTGCTGTCAGTCCGCACCGAGATCTTGATCACCACGTCTACCAGCGCGCGCGGGTGCCCCAAGCGATCAGAGAATACCTGGTCTCGGCCCACCCGCAGTCGTTTTCGGTCTCGTCCAAGCGCGGCACCACAGGTCCTGTAACGGAACACTACGCGGAGAAGGTTGTGTACATCACCGCCGAGGCCTTCCCTACCATCCTCCGTAGGAGTGAGATTGTCGAGAGCCACGAGGTGTGTCTGGGGCCCAAGGAGACGGCACTTGAGCGGATAGTACGGAAGACGCAGGAGATGACGGGTGTGGAGAAGCGCATTGCAGACGGCGACTCCGGCAAGGAGCTGGCGCAGCTTCTTGTCGACGCCGTCAGCATCTCGGTGAATCCCAACTCGGAGAACAGCGTCGTATGCTACCGGCAGCTCATCACCCCGGATGCGGTGGAAAATGCGGATGGCATCGGGGCAGGAGAGGAAGAGGGTCAGAACGAACAACCTGTGCCGTTGGATCCTCGGGAAAATGCCATCAAGATGGCACTGGTCGATCACGCCATCATGCTGAAGCGATGCCTCGCGACCTTCCAGAAGAGCTCCAACGAGATCCTCAACCGGCACTATGCGGATCTTCAACAATGTGAGCGAACAAAGAGTAGAGATGGGTGGACCTGTGTGGCAGACGTGCGACTAACAAATTCTCTCTGCGCAGACTTCGAGACTACTTATGCACCCGAGATCGCCTTCTTCACACCTCCGCAGCCAGTACGGGATAACAACAGTCCCCTTATGTCGCCAACCTGGTCTAGGATATCTGCCACGGACATGACGTCGCCTAATGGTCGCCCTCAGGGCTCTTCGCCTTACACTCACACCTACACCAACAGCATGGGCCAAAATGAAGTGTCGACGGTGCAGCCCGTGTCGCTCCGCCAGGGCCGCGGTGCACGTCTCAGCTTCCTCGGAGGAAGGAAGAAGGATAACAATCCGTTGTCTTCCACTCCTCAAATAGAGGTCATGGCTCCTGGGGTCAACGGCGACAGTGGCCACCAGAACGGACCGCCGTCCCCATTTTTGCCGAGTTCCGTCAACGGCAACAGCACTGATGCGCTGAGCCTCCCCGGCCGCGTGGCCAGCAAGGAAAACTCGAACCGAAGGAGCTTCTTCCGACCGAATCCGGCCGACAAGAGCAACTACTCGGTCACAACCACAGTGACCGCCAACGACCCGCCGCCGCCATCCAAGGGCTCCGAGTCTAATGAGAGTGGGGACTGGATGAGGGACTTCTCGGGCACTGCTAGTAACGCCGGCACGGGCAACGGAATCGGCACAGGGCCTGGCCTCGGACGTCAGAGCATCGACAGGCGCAGGTCCGAAGACAAGTATGGCAGCGACGGCTCCCACGCAGCGGACGCCCCCATCTCGTCGAAGGGCAGCGTCCGCAAGCGGTTCAGCATGCTGAAGATCGGGAGGAAGGGAAGCAAACACCATGGAACCATGGGGAGTCTACACGAGGAGTGATGTATCATCTGAGCCCTCCTTGCTTGCGCCGAACCATTATAATAATGGGCCACACAAGACCTAGCCTGTTTTTTTTTGTTTTTGTTCCTTTTCGATTTACCGTTCCGCGTTTGGTTGGCGCCAGTCGTTACCTAGGTTCTCACTTATTCTTCGTTCTGCGTTGTCAATATGGTCGAGGACACTCTCTTTGTGGTCCTCGATGCTGTGTATTCCCCCCGGCACGCACACCGATTCTTTGTTCTTTGTCGGAGAGGCATGTTCCTGGATATACCCCCTCCCACCTCCCATGGTCGCTCTTCCTTTTTGTTGCCTATATCTTCTTGTGTCATCAAGACCCGTACAGTCGGGACATCCCTGGGTGGATCCTAGCCCCCGGTCGCATTTTTGGCGAGCTTCTATTACTCTACTTGTACCTCAATCTCGGAGTCCTTTGTCTCTATTTCTCGACACCCTTTTTTCTTTCGTTTGGCATATCGTCATACAAACAGCCACCTAACCCATTAGGTCTTTTTTACTCCATTTTCCCACCAACCCACACGATCATACCCGGAGCGAGCGAGCATCTCCTTTGTTTTTCTCTGTTTATTTTTCACGGTATATACGAAGGCTCGGGATCCATGGCCGCTTCCGCTTAGTGTAGTCCGTGCCCCGTTGCTCCTGCCGCCTTACAATCTTTATTACCTTGTTGCATAATCTGTTTGTTCTTGTCACTCGTTCTCTTGAGCTCATGCTTTTTCAAGATTCTGCTTGCGATTGGGTTCACTCCGTGTTTTATTCATCTCTTTTCCAGTTCTTGGCCGACGCTGCACACTCGTTCTTGACATTTTGTTTTTGTACTCGCCTTTTTCTGTGGACCAGGACGTTGTGGCCGACACAGAGAAGTATGCTAGAATATACCAAAAGGGTCATGTGCTGCCCTAGGTTAACAATCCAACTAAACTTGCAAAAAAAAAAAGGTGTGGCTTTTGAAATTTGGTGAACTGGACTTCGGCGGGATGACCAACCAGCCATGGGCCATTGCTCGTTATGGTTGTTCCCTTCTTCAAAATATACCACATTCGCACTGTGAGCTCTGCTGGTTGTCAGGCTAACCGCATTGAGCAGGCGGTGAGACAGAGCGTGCAAGTGCCGACGGTCTCCAGCTTGATATGTGATTTCGGTGCTCTCGAGGGCTAGAGTAGTCCTAGCGTCTTTCCTCGTAGCTTGGGTAGATTTTATCGTTTTTTTTGCACTGCCCCTCCATTCATCCAAGGTCGGGCTCATATGTGGCCTTGTATATGGGGCCGCATGCGGAGCCGCTGCATGCAGAGCTGCTGCATGCAAGAGCGGCAGTGGGAATCATGTTCCAGCACACAGCTGCAGGCGGGCGCCCTGCAGGGGACGAGACGTTGGGTCGAAGGGTGTTGCAAAAAAAGACAAAAGAAAAAGAAAAGAAGAACACAAGGAGATACGGCGGGCCAGCCAGCGTGCCCACAGTTTGTTTTGCTGCCAGCCCAAAGAATGTCTGTCGCGAGATGGTGGCCCAGTGAGGACAGACATCGATGTAGATGCCTACTCGATACAGAGGCTATAGAGAGGTTCCTAGCCACCACGGATACATCCGCGCGTCTTCAACGTAGCCCATAGTCAAGTGGCGGACATGATGGCCCTTCGCACGACCGGTCGGGAGTTCAACTGCAGCCTCCCCGCATCGACTTTGTAGCTTCGCCTCCGCCTTTGGCCCGACGACGTGCTCGTTTAATGCTGTTTCTAAGCGTTCTCAGCAGATTTAACGGCTCCCCCTCCTATAAATGGCGAGCTCCAAATGCCAGCCTGGTAGCTCTAATTGCAAACAGGCAAAAGGATTGTTTTAATTCCGGGAAAAAAAAAAAAAAAAAAGAGAATGTGAGTAAGGGATATCCCGGGTTCCACCCCCCTTGGGGGCTCGAACCCGGGACCTCCCCCCAGGCAACGTGGGGGATCCAAGAGGCAGAGTTTACACTCGCAAACACCTGACCCCTTCGGCCACGGCACGTTCCCTGGGCACGGAAGCAGCTGCACCAAACCAAACTTATCAGGGGAGGGGAGCTCAACGCCTTCTCGTTTCCTCGCGGTCTCTCAGGGATGGCTGAGGGTGCCATTCACTCACAGCTCAGATAGCCGTTGACCTGAAGCTCAGATAGCCGTCACCACAAGATTATGGGCATTATTCCTAGCTACTACTACCATTGCCGCAAGAAGGTTCGAGATTTTACTGTACCCTAGTGTTGACTTCTTCCCATCCGTTTGAAGCTCGACTTTTCCGTTACTGTTGCAAACCTTTGGCAGGGATCACGACCAACACGATCCCACAGCAAAAAAGGATAAATGTAAGTGCTATTAAACCAAAGCTTCCTCTGGTTTATGTGTATTTACAAGCATGCAAGCCGTTCTTTATCCTTGGACACGCCAATGAGCGGAGACTGACTACGCCTTCCCAAGTCTTCCCGTCCCATAATGCGTCGAGCCCGTGCCAACCTCTAACCGATATGTCGATGACCGTATTACGCTGGATCCTCTGTGCGTTTTGCGTCCATTGCAGCTTGCAGTTGCGCAAGCTGCTCCGAGATGGCTGCCTTCCGTTCCTCCCCGGAGCGGCCCACGCCCGTTGTTGCCAGTGCAGACAGTGCCGAGCTGCTCTGGGTGCGGATGTATCGATCGAGCATGACCGAGGGCTCACTCTGCTTGACACTTTGACACGTGGGCATGTCAGCGGCATCGTTCGTGGCAGAGACGGGGAATATCAGGCCAACATACCTCTCGTGGGAGAGTTGGAAGAGAGCTTCGGAGGCTTGAGACATTGTGATTGGTTGGTTGGCCGATGCCTGTGGATGCAGAGCCAAGAATGAAGATATCACGCCTTGATGAGGGCTATCAAACTGTGGCTTCTGTCTGTGAGCTCTGGGCCTTTCCCATTGACGGTATCATGTCTTAGTTCTATTAGTCCTGCTTTATACCCAGAGCCACCGACCTCTCGCCCTGCCTCTGGCGCTCTGCGCGCCCGGACCCCGAAACAAGTCGAGCATACTTCGCAACGCGGCGACGCTGAACGTGCCAGAAATAATCCGGGCAGCGCAGAGGCGTGAACGAATACTCGACATCCTTTGCGTATATCTGGCGATTGGGGCTTCTCTCGGTGAGTGCGCACCTTCCATGAGCAACAGACTGGCACGCAAGCTCAACCCCGCGCCGCGCTGGACGCAGCCTTACCTCGCGCCATTGGTCAGATCGATGATCTCGCATGCATTCCGTGTGGGTTCCTTTTTTTTTCTTCTTCTCTCTCATGGGTTCCTGCACGCATCCTCGCGTTTTGCGCTGCGCACGCCCGCCCGCCCCCGTCGGCATGCGATGTGATGTGCGCTTTGCAGTAGCAGCAGCGCCGGTAGGATCCCTTCTCATCCACGCCCCCTCCCGCCGGTTTGCCCAATTGCGCCCGCCGAGGGGCTGACCTGTCCGAGCCTGATTGGGGGGGGGGGGGGGGGG